TGATTCTAACGCGACCTTAAACTTGGTTAAAACTCTCTGAAATTTAAATTTATCACGCTAACTTTTAGAACTTGCCCCCGCGACCATTACCAAAGAAATAAAAAGGGAAAGTATCTGTAATGTACACTGGTACAAAATTATATCAAGTTCATTAATATAAGTTGATGGACTAAAGAAAAATGAACTTACTTGTCGATTCTGATTTATCTAATCATTCGCTTCTTCCAGCAACTAATCTGTTTCGGTATGTATGGTAAAGAATGCTTTCCGTACACTTGGTTCTCGTAGTGCGGAACGCTCTTCTACGACTATTATTCCGTGTTTGGCTTTTGATATTGCTACGGTTTTTCGTTGGTCGTTTATTACGAACGACGAATATAATTCTGATTTAGTCCTTTTAGTTATTATTACTGAAAAATCACATTCGCAGCCCTGGCATTGATTAATACTGTAGATGTCAGCTGGGGGTTAATGGTTGTTATTTCTTCTACTGTTGCCGAATAATAACAGAGGATGGTAATTCAGCTTCGAGGTATGTGCTCTTTTATAAAATAAGCTAATTCAACTGCCACCTCACTATGCAATTTATTGACCCGACTTCTCTTTCTAGTGGAATATTCCACTCCCTTCGTGTCGCGACTACCGACGGTCTATTTAATTTGGTTCCCCATAGGGACCTACGGTGTCGCTATGGATATCCGAACTTCTATCGTTTCAAAGCGCAAGCAGTCGTAGTCGCCGATGCTTGCAGCACCATATAATTTGAGGACTGTAATTACGAAGGGTGGTACCGTTGTTGAGCACTTTATACTTTGGATAATTCTTCATTCGTTGAATCCTTCGAATAATAAAAGTAGCGAAATAATTGAGACGATACAGAGAATTAGAATGAATCACTGAGCAAACTGCTCATTAACCTAAACTCCCACCGCATTGAAGTTCTAATACTATAGATTGAATAGAAACGCAGGTCAAACCGACCTCGAATGCTCCTTCTAGTAATAAGATAAAGAATTATCACAAACAAAACAAATTATACAAATCAATTTCGATCGAAGAAACGTAAAACAATAAAAACTGTTTAACAAAGTAAGTAGAAGTACAAAAAATTAAGTTTAGGAATTATAGAAAGGTGACAGTAAAGCTTCAAGAAAGATCACTAACTTTCACCTTTTCTTTCGCGAGACTGAATTTCTTAATAACACCTTGCTCTTTTATAATGTCTGTTTGGCAATGATCTTTTAGTATGACCTCCAAGAGCTTCCCTTTAAAGTCATGTCTGGTCCATTACCGTCTTCGATCCTTAAGGCCATTTCGCGTGCCGTCGCGACACTTCGTGTGTAGAAAGAGAAGCGGAGTCTGATTTTGAAGGTAGGGTGGCTCCAATAGTTTCCATCAGTCCCTTTTGTCTGAAGTCAACACTGAAGTTAAGTCACCGTAAGAGGCTGCTTTTGACAGTGCCTTCACAATTTTCGGATGACTTTTAAAGTTTTGTATTAATACTACATGCTTTACTGAGTTACTTATCATTAGTTTTTGGATAATCCTCTCGTGTCCTAAAAACACTATCTTTTTAGGAATTGATCCGGTGTAAGGGGGCAACTGGTGGGCATCACCAGTAATCAGCAAATTTTGCAAGTTTGGAATATTCGAAACCAAACTAAATAAAATCATTTTGGGCACAAACTCTGCCTCATCGTTAATGAGATGTTGCAACGACTTGGTATCGAATTCATCTTCCCAAAGTTGCAGTACTAATTTTATTATAGGAATGGTGCCGAAAATGACCTCTAGTCTTCGTAGCTTAAGACAAATTCTTAACGCTTCATTTTCGTGATACAGGTTTCCGTCGTGGCATAAACGTTTTCCATCATATTGTTCCATAAATTGTTTATCTTCTGTGAGTTCAGGATCTTTCGAATATTGATTGAAAATCTCTGGGATCTTTACTGTTTTCCATGAACCCGCGTCTTCGGCATTGTTTACGATTTCCTTAGTAGAAGATTGTAAAAATATAATTTCTCTTAGCATTGTGTTAGTACACTCGAGGACATTTTCAGCCATTTCTTGAATAGCGAAATTAGTAGGGGTCGTGACTATAATTGTATTAGTAACATTTTGGATTAGCTTTGAAATATAAATTGTTAATACCTGTGTTTTCCCGGTTCCAGTCGGAGCTTGGACCGCTAAAATGTCGGTTTCTGGTTTCAGAAGTTTTAAGATAACGGTCAATTGGGCCTTAGTTAATTTAATGAAGTTTCTCTTTGAGGTAGCTTTTATCCGTTCCGCTTCTTCTATGTCGGAATCCATCTCAGATTCTCTGCTGAGCCACATTAGTTTTTCTAAGATTTTTTTCTGATTATTTTCTGAGTAGGTTAGGATCCTAGATAACTTATGATTAGTAAATTCTCTAATTACTGTTTCATACCCAATTTTATTCATTTCTGGATACAGTATTAGACCGCTGGATGAATTATGGGACATTAGATTTGGAGCTTTTTGAAAGGCTACCTCTAATTGATCATGATTCACTTAGCCTTCTGAAATCATATCGTCATTATCTTGTACAAGTAGCCTTACTACCTCCATTTTTTTTCCGCTTCTGTATAATCTCGCGCTTGTCTTCACGGTTTTAATTCTTATCTGTTTTTTCAATTCCCAAAATTTTTGTCCAGCAATAAACGCTCTTCCATCATTTTGGTATGAATCATGATAGGGAATGAGGAAGAGTAGTTTGGCTTGGTATTTATTCCTGATGTCCTTTGTTATTTGTACTTTAGCCTTCTGTGGTCGAGTTCAGCTTCACCACAGAATGTACTTTACATGTTCTACAGTGAAAATCGCTGATGAATTTAGTAAAGCTTCATAGTCTTGACGTTCTTTAATGTCAGTCACTTTTAGGGTTGCGGCATACGAGGAATGTCATCATTGGTAGTCTCGTGTTTGGAATCCCAAATCGTTGTAATCCAGCAACGGTTGTTGCCTAATTGTTTCCCTCCCCTTTCGATCCTTTCAAATGCTTCCGGTAAGTAACATCTTAATTCTCTGTTCCGAAATACTATTTTATATTTTACTTTACCTGCCGGAAGTCTTATCACCTCGGCGCTTACTAATTCTCCTATTTGTGGAGGGTTTTTTAGTGTGATCCTATCTCCATACAATCGCTCATGTCCTGACAATTTTGAAGCTGAGACAGCTACCAGGAGTGGATTTGTCCTAATGTAGTGAGTCACCGCAATGATTTCACAGATTTCTGCTTTCGTAATATTTTTCCTTCCGTCATTTCCGTGGGGGCGCGCAACATTTCTTGGAAAATATAATCTTTTTTGGACACAAGTCCGACTAAAAGTACCTTTTGAATACCTGAGTCTGTGCGCGCAATCTCATATGAAGTAACTTGTACCAAGTCTGTAGGTGATACGATCTTGCTTACTTTCACTTACAGGAAGAGCGGGGCTTCATTCCTTAAGTCTTTATTTGTCTCATCACTTAGGCCTAAGACTAAAGTCGCGTATTTCTTTGCGACTTGGTTTACCATATAAATGGTTGGAGCCTAAAGGGTCGTTTGGTTGATCCAAGAGACGGTTTTTCGCATGTTCGCAGCACGTTGCATTCCAAAAGATAAATTTTAATTAGTTAATGAGTTACTCGCGATTGGATAAAGCATGTTTGGTGGATGATCAACAATTTTATGATTTGGAAGTCTAATACTAGCCGATTGGATGTAACCGTTTTGTCTCTTCTGTGATATTATGATTTTCCCTAATTTTCATTCTCTTCTTCTTAGGTCTGGATCTTTCACGATTACTACATCCCAGGACTGGGTTCACGTTTGTGACTTATTCTCAATCTTTTATGAAGTCGGTTATGTCGTTCTTGTAGTACTAATAGATATTCCTTTTGGAAATATTTCCAGTACTCATCTATGAGAGCTAGTTTGGTCGTATATGAATCAAAAAACTCCTTCTCTTCTTGGGGTACTACATAATCAGAGTATGACTCAAAGACATCCACTGGAATCATTCCAGGTAGTGCTTCGGGAATAGTAAAATCTATGGGCCGTAATACCTGAGTGTTTACTTCATCATACACGCAAGTTAGTGGACGCGCATTAACAACAATCGCCTTGGTTTTGCATAATAGAGTATGAAAATCATTAATATTCGATATAGATTTCCCAATTGCTTTATGTGATGACGATTTTACTATACCTATTGACCTCTCATGATATCCTTCTTGCCATGAAGCATATTCCTTAAAATAGTTCCATTTGATTCCCTTATTAGAGTAATAAGCTTGTACTTCTTTATCCGCCAGAAGTTTATTCCAAAAATGAACTAGTTTCTTCTCAGTAGCTTCAAAATATGTAGCGTTATCAGAATAAACTATTTCTGGCTGACGGCGCCTAGAAATGAATTTCCTAAAACAGTTCAAAAATCATTTTGTACTTATATCTTCTATCAACTCTAGATGTATATTGCGCGTTATTATACAACTAAACAAGCATACCCATCGTCTAACTGTGGACCTCATTTTCCATTAGTTTAAGAGTTACTGGACCAAAATAATCAATACCCGTTCTTTTAAAAAGTCGCATTTTTTGAACTTTGAACTCGGAAAGGGGTGATATCTTTGATACACTATAAAGGCCTTCTTGGTATCTCTTACAAATACAACATTTCCTTATATACCTTTTGGCTGTTGCTCTCCCCTTTGTAATCCACCATCTTTGACGTAATTCGTTTAAGCTTACTAAAACTCCCATATTTTTTACTCGGGCACGAGTATTCTCAGTTATCAACCTAGCTGAATCACCGCTATGATGTAGGAGAACAGGAAGCTTTAATTTCATTTGGCAATTTCGAATTATTATAGCGCCCAGCACATCTCAATATTCCATCATCCAAGCAGACTCTCGAGCGTTCTTTTAGTTTATCCATAGTATTACTGAGTACTGCTTGTATATTATTAGAGTACCATTTTTCTTCTTCCTTTCTAATCAAAAGTAATTCTGTCCCTTAAATATCTTCCAAAATAACCGGCCCTTTCTCAGATCACTAGAAATATCGAGTGAAAGAAAGAGTACTTGGATTGTGATAGATCATGTAGCCGTTTCCAAAATTTATTTTTCAAAAATCTCAATATATACGTCATAATTCGTCTAACTTTGTATCAATTAGAATATTGCGCAATATCAAACAAAGGGCTATCTCTAATTACGGTAAGTGCTTTAGCATTTCTTTCTTCCTTGAAATCTACTTCAGGTAATTATTCAGTACGAATCCGGTCAGGAGTTCCCGGCCAATATAGTTCCGCGAAATTTAACCACTTAGGGCCCCTCCACCATAATTAATTGTTTATTATTTCTTTTGAGGAACAGCCTCTAGTTGCTAACTCTGCTAAATTTTTTTTAGATTGAGTATCCCTAATTTCTGTGTTTCTCGCCCCTTTTATTCCTCTTAGCCTGTTGCTTCCAAGCGAAGCGAAGAATCCCATACTGGAAGGGAGGAAGCCGACATTTCATGGACTGATCCCCGAGCCGAGGAGAACGGAGAAAAAAGAACTAAAGGAGGCATAAACGCTGCAGGCGCATGGGGTCGTGAGAAGAGGCGGAAAACCCGGGGTTGAGAAGCGGAAAGGATGACGCAATTAACCCCGCCTGATCCAGGAGGCGGGAAAGGAAAGAAAAGAAGGAAACTGACAAGGCAGAAGAAAGAAAAAATGATCTCCCATCGTTATGTCATCACTTTATCGTTATAAGTGTTCCTTACTAGATACGTATTTCATGTTTGTGCTCACTCTTATTCATGGTTTGATTACCCAAGTTTGAGGTTATATTGTATTGACTGTACGAAATAAAATATTAAAAACCCAAGACCCGCGTGGCAGCAGTGAAATAAAACGACGAGGCCAGAAAATTGGAGGAAGCAATTCAGAGTATCTATGGAACAACAACGATTCTTACAAATCAAAATTATTGATGTAGCCTATTTTCTATGAAGGTGGGGAGTATTCTGCTAGTTCTCAGCTCGCTTAGGACACATTCTGAATCAGTCCAAATTAATTGTCCCTTGGTAGAAAAATATAATCCCTTTTTTAAAATTAATATAGCTCTTACTCCACTTAGTAAAGCCATTAATTCTAGACGCGGATTGGTCATTCCTCTGACGGGACATCAGCGGCATTTTGTGAACACAAATTCAGACTAAGTATTCGTTTTAAAATAAGTGACTGTTGAGTAAGCTTTCTTTGAAGCATCAACAAACGCATGAAGTTGACATTTTTCTGTCTTCTGTCTATCTATTACTGATCTATTTACTTACAGTTTTCGACTCTCACTCTAATCTCTTTCAATTTCCTGCCATTGCTTACCTACTTCTTCTGGTACTGGATCGTCCCAAGCATAAACTTCTTTCCTCAAAGTCTTTAAGAAAATTTTCGCTTTCAAATTCAGTGGTGCATATAAGTCTAACGGGTGGTAATTACTCTCTTAGTAATTACCCGTTTCTCTGCATTCGGAGAAAAATTTACTTGAAGTTTATCAATGTCTAAATGCCAGGTTAATCCTAACACCTTTTGATTCTTATCTGTATCTAAATCTTCTTTTGAGACTGACTCCTTGAAGTCCGGTATATCGGACGCTCACACTCTCATATTGAATGGAGCTTGATTAAATACTTCTTTAACAAGTCTGCATAAGTAACTCGCTCCGTCTCTGTCTTTACATCCTGTAATTAGGTTATCTACATACAGCTACTCAATAAACATACAGCTACTCAATATCCGTTCGACGTATTGACCTTTTGAGTGTTCCCCTAAATTGCTGCTTCCTCGATTCTCTTTCAGAGATGGTGGACCACTGTAACAGTGAATAAAAGAGAATTGTTACTCGAAAACGATTTTTCCTGTTATTGTTTAACCTTGCATAACAACGATATCCAAGCAAACATTGAAACTCAGGAGACAATTTTCAGCGCACGAAAATTTTATAATCATTTTGCAGAATACCAGATTCATTAATACTGAGTATGCTAGGCAGAGGGCTGGTCAATTTGTGTTTTACGAAGTACAGGAAGGACGGTACAAAAAAGAAGCCAAATTTTCTCTCGAATACTCCTCTTTAATTTAGTCCTATCTATGTTTAGTTATCGTTTAATGTAGCCACATAAGTGTGTTTCAAAAAAGTTTATGTAAGGATGGACACGCAAGAAGTTAGGCTTTGTAAGCAAGAACCCTCAGTTTTGCGAAAAAAACCGTCATCTCCGATAAAGTCAGCTACCTTGAAAAATTCCTTTACTATATTACTTCAAAGTAACTAGAAAAAACTTCCATAGCCTTCGTCATCTGAGCGCCCAAAGAACAAAAAAATAGAAAAAAGGAGGAAAACCTGGACCGTTAAGAATGGTCGGAAAGAAAAAAGTAATGAACCAGCAAACCACAGACAATCCCGAAATAAAAATCAAGACATTCAAATTTAAAACACTAAATAATGATATCAAAAACACCTACTTAGTGTTGTAGAAATACATTCTGAAGTCACTGAGAAGAAGACAATATATAACGCACGTTCGTTCCATCTAACGCAATAAAGCTTTAGTGAAATATAGCTTGTACCAAAAGAATGCTTCAAAATGTTAGAACAAGAAAATGTTATTTAACAGATAACACATTTCTGCCAAAAGCATTGTAACAACTTCCGGTCTAAACAGTTATATCAAGCCTTGCTGCTGACCGTTGTGAAGACAATATTATGTAAAAAAATGATGTAAAAAATTAAAACTTTTATATCTTCTGCAACTTCTGTGACCTACAGTGCCGTCTAAAGTCAAACTGCTAATCAAAGGTTTTTGTCACTATCTGTAACCTCAAAATAACATCAATTTATTCATCACTCAGTAAGTTCTCAATATCCCTCTCCAAAAAATAATATTTGTCCTGGCGCCTTTTTAAACAACTGATCAATGTCAATGTTCAACATTCGAAAGCAGCAAATTGCTGATGGTTGCATTCAAACGTAAAAAAGTCCATTTTTCTCAGAATCATCGCATTGAAGTTCATGTACTAGAAAAGCTGCATGCGATCAAAAGCTCTTTTTTCAACTAAATTTTTTCTCCATTGGATAAACAGGTAACTTACGACCGAAAAAACCGAACAAAAAAGTGTGAAGTAACTAAGTTTAAATAACTTCTTGTTTTCTATATCAGAACATGGCTTTGAAATATTCCTACCGCTCTCCATACACCTGATTTGGTCGTAAAATCCGTTTTCCGTGCAGTAAGCTGAAAAAAAAAAAGACTACCTGCATAATGTTGGAAGGAAACCGTATTTCTCCTACCGTCCCAATAGAAAGAAAAAATCTAAATTAGTTTTATCGTTGCAACCGCTGTAACGAAAAAAACCAAACTAACAGGCTTTTAATGAGTCCTTTTCAAAGGAACTACATTTTACACAAGATTTTATTACTTCCACGTGCTCAAAAGAATAACATTCGTCTGGACGGATACCGTTAAACTTCCCACTGCCGATTCCCTTAAAACTGTTGCTTAGAAAAATCAACTTTTGAGAAAAAAAATCAGAGAAAAAACCAAAGATTAAAGCAATTTAGTTGGAAACGAAGAAATGAAAGAACTAAAAAAATTTTTATCATAAATGGGCAGCAACTTTACAACACAGATGGAAAAAATACCTCAAGAACTAACCGACCGAGAAAATTGTGATTACCAGAAATATTTTTCTTATTTTTGAACTTATTCAGCGATGAAAATTTTACGATATTTGTTCCCTCAAAAGCTTCATTCTCTCCAAAATAATTTTCCAAGCAGAACACGAAAACTGACAACCTGCAAAAAAAACCTTTGGTTCCCTAAATAATAAACATTTGATTAAAGATAAAAAACAAGGCTAGGGAACGGTCCAAAACGCTGAAAATAAACGATTAAAAGAAAGCTGACATACGTAATAAAGGCAAGTACGCATAAAGCCATTCGCCGATACAAACGTAAGTCTCCCATCATGCTGACAAACATCTTCCGAGATTGAAAATATTGCAGAAGAAATAAATAAGCAATACTGGCGCTCCTTTCTAGCTTGCCCTTTTACAAATGCACATAGCCTGTTATGTCTATAAATTACTCACGTTCTTCAGGTTTTTTGAGCTACGGATTCACTGAACACAACTCCAGAACACTCTACGCACGCCTCCTTTACTTTTAAATAAACTACCTTACAATAGCCTCCTGATATCTATTTCTCTTCATATGTCCATACTTGCCACGCAAGTATGACAGGTATAATACATAAATACGGTGAAATCCTGCATTTCTCAACATGTGCGCTTAAACGGTTAAAAGTCCTACAACTCAAAAAATCTTCAATCTCCCAGTTTTGCTCTTAAAATGTGCCGTTGAAACCAATCATTTTCTCACTTCGCAGTCCTCATCAGCTCCACTGCACTATCAGAGTTACTACAGTAAAAAATATACTAACACAATTAATTATATGCGAAAATCCAAAGCAGTCTTCAGTGTTCGCCTAAAAAAGACAATTCCCCCTCGGAAAATGTCCAAAAAGAATAACGCTGTTTGTATTTCTGTTCATTTCTTATCCCTTTTGACTTTTTTCAGTTTATTATTTCCCTAGCATTATTTTTCAAATTTTTTCATTTGTTAGCAAATCAGATTTTTTTCGACTGCCAAGTTAGGACCGTTTCTCTTTCTCCCAACAGTTTGAACCTTATTCCTCCTGAACAAATTCTACAACTTATTTCTACACAGAATGTTATAATAGAAAACTGACAGTTGTTTCCGCGAAACTAACACCTTTATTAGAGTAATTAAGTTACAACGTATATGTTAAAAATAAGTCTTCTCAAATTTCTGCTAAAGTTCTTGCCGAACAAATGCCAGAAAGCGAAGGTTCCAGAAACAAACAGATAAAACATTGACAAACGAAAATTCTTCTTTATACCTCTTATACATATATCATACGAAACTTTTAAAATACCTTTTGAGACGTCGCTCGCTCAACTTACATCATAATGGCTTGCGTCAAAGTCGCTGGAATCCCTCCAAAACAAAACATTTCCCTTCGCCTTATTCCTTTACTGGCAATTAGCAAAGAACTCCACTAAATCTGTCGTATTTGTACAAGGTCATATATATACTCTTGTCCATTTCTGATTATCTCCTAACAATTATGGCAAGAAAATGGTTTTCTTCTGAAAAGGATTCCAGTAACTTTGGCGCAATGTCACTGTGCTGTGAAGACGTACCTTTACGCTAAGCCAGAAAGCTCAAGAAAGGTGTGCGAAACCTTTGTATTACTCGTGTGTATAAGGTGTAACAAAGAGCTTTTGTTTAAAATTGTTTAACCTGTGTGTTTTCGGAATTTCATGCTTTTTGACCTCCATTCTGCCGAGATTTTAGCAGAAATGTGAGAGCTTGCTCGTTTTTCACACATTACCTTCTAACTTAATTACTTCAATAACTCAGTTAGTTGCGCTGAAACAGCTGTCAGTTTTCTTATTGTAAGATTCTACGTATTTAAAAATTATAGAATTTGTAAAGAAAACATAGGGCTTAGACCACTACGAGGAAAATAAGCTGTCTCAAAGTGGTATTTGAAAAAAACCTCATTTACAAATAATTAGGGAAATATTTAAAAGTAGTAGTAGAAGAGTAATAAACAGTGAAAAAAAGAAACAGAAGATGAAAGAGGGACAGCAATACTACCAGTGTTGACTTTTTTGCATTTTTTCGAAAGGAGTATGCTTTTTTTTTCAAGCAAAAACTTAAGACTACCTTCGACATTTTTTGTCGGCGGTCGTCGAAAGGGACTACTGTACCCGTCCCCTAAACGCTATATGCAAAAAAATCTTGCTTTTTTACACGTCTTTTAACTTCTCTTTAAGTAGATCATTGAAAAAAAAATGTTTCCACGAAATGAGCGAATTTATAACAATAAACATGTTAAAAGATGTATATTCATAAAAAAAACTTTGTCACATTTCTGTCGAATGTTGCAACCAGCAACATCTTCTTTAATTGAGAGACTGTTTGCCTCCCTACAGTTTTCCTTGTAGGAACTTATTCTGACTTATCGATATTATTTTTACTTACTTCGGACGACTGTGGTTGGCATCATTCGCGGTACTCTGTGAGGACTGTATTTCTTCGGTTAACAGTAGACTATTTCTGTAAATTTTAGTGGGTTGCTACTTTGTCACGTACAACAGCAGTTTAACTAATATGGTTTATCAACAAGTAACGATATAACAATAATGGGGAAGAAATCACAAAGCACATCCTGAATCCTTTCGATAAACCAATGATATAAACCAACCTTATTAAAATAAGTCACTAAAATAACGATACAATAAACTGCCAAATGAGCACGTTGTAAACTTAGAACACGATAAAAATCAATAATCGGGCAAGAGTCAAATTATATTTACTGATTAGTCTGATTGGAACTAATCAAAAGATTGGAGATTTGTCCGATACTGTTTGAAACACTGAAAAAACATTAATCAAAAAACAAAAAACTCCCACAATTACTGATCCCGGTAGTTGTAGCGACACCTTATATAACGTGCTTTTGTAGAGCAGACTGACCAACTAATTATCCTCCAGAAGAGTCCCTTCAGGGATAAATAGTGGCTATGACTGTCTACTGTACTTGAGGTTATTTTCGCGTACTGTTGCGACACCGAAAACTCAGCGAAAAAAGTCAAAAAGAACATTTGCAAGACAATGGATTAAAACATGATGAACAGCATGTTATTAATAACACATTATTTAAACATGTGAAAACAGAAGTTTAGCACACGCTTAAAAAAGTCGCCGGGTAACCTCTAGTATTCCCGTACAACACAGTGGCATTCAACCAAAACCGTTGGAGTTTTTCCAGAGGAAGGCATTTTCGCCAGCAAAAATTTTTAAATTAAATTAAAAATGAATCCGCTTATATATAGGCGGATTCAATCCTAATTTCCACTGGGCGGG